GGAACTGATGAATTATTTATAAGGGACAGTCAGAGATGGAAATATTTGAATGCTAGCTGCAGGGCTGTTAGACTCTACTTCGGTTTGATGCAGTTTGATGGCTGGCATGCATGGCTTATCCAGCGTTGAGCCTAGAGCCACTGCTGGGTGAGCTGGCTCTTTGGTTCCTCAGGGCAGGAGGACTGGAAGAGGGCACTGGAGCAGTCAGTTGTGTTGTGCGGATCGGCTGTATCCTGAGATGATGGTGTTGGCTAGTAGAAGAGAAAGGTCAAAGGGAGCCCCTGGAAGATGCAGTGAATGATAGATATTGACAGAGCATGCCTACCAGGTACTTTTTTGCACTGTCATCCAGGTCTGGGTAGAGGTGAGAGAAAGAATGGCCCTCTGACGTACTTCGGTGCGTGTGTTTGAGCTAAAGGAAGAAGCATTCCTGCCTTTCCTGTAAGTGTCTGGTCAGCTTAGATGTTAACTACTCTGGGGGCTAGAAGGGCTAATATTTAAGTTCCAAAGAGTTCTCAAGTCCAATGAGCTACAGAGATGCACTCATGCTGTTACTGAAGTGCAGACTGGATCTGAAGTAGAAATTCTTTCATTTCACATTGACAGCTATCTTGATTTTTCTGATGATAATTGAGGCATGTGTTTAGAAGCTTCTAAGGAGCCACACATGAAGCATAACTCAATCCACACCCAAGAAAGTTTTGGAAGTGGAGGCCTTGCATCTTGTTCTGAGCCCAGTGCCAAATCTAAACCTGAAATGCCAAGCATACAATAATTTGCCTTGACAATTAAACTGTCTCTTACTTATGAGACAGGGTGCTGACCTGATGAATTGTGGAAAAAATTTTTCATGGAAGATCTCCAAAATATGCTGTGATAGCCCGTGGGTCAACAAGCTCCAGCTATAAACAGTTGGAGGAAATTAGTATTTGTCTTCGCGGAAAGAACTCAAGCCTGTTTATTTATTATGGCATTACAGGGATGGGTGTTTATTATTTGGCAATGATCCTAGCTCTTACTCAACTTGGTCTTCGAATGGTATTTTTTCTACCTGCCCATGCGGTGAACTCAGTGCTCAAGTTGGACAGTAAAACTGTTGTTTCTACCTCATGCATCACCCTTAGCAGTAAAGTTTTCTATATGAGGGCTTCCAGCCAAGTAGCCTGGTCAGACGTGTCCTCAGCTGGGAAGGTGGGACACAAAATGCATCCACAGTGCAAAGCCTGCAGTTCTGTAACCACCTTTGCACAGGCATAACAGAAAGAGTATGAGGGGAAAAGAGTGAGGTGGAGGGTGACCTCTGTCACTTTTTGTTTTAACATTGTCAGCAGCACACTTCAGTGCCTTTCATCACGATTGATTAATCGGGTTCTGTGAAAAATGATGCTAAGCCAGCCTTATTATTTTAATGTATGTCCTTTGTAGGCTCTCGTTGATGAAAACAGCTTTCATACAGTGGTGAAAACATGCATCATAGGGCTGTTTGTGGGTATCAAATGAACAGCACATTTCTCCTGGCAGCATCCTCGGAAGCTTTTAACCTATGCTGGCTGCTTTACTGCATCTCAGATGTTATCTGGCGAGGCGGATACCAGCTCCTGTTCCAAGGCACCCGTGAGTGGTTTCTCCAGATGTGCCTGCTGCTCTGGCCAGGCAGTTCCTTGGCAGCACTGGAAGCAGCCTCTTCAAAGGTTGTCTGGTGGGTGTACCAAGCCTCTGGAAGGAGTAGAGGCCCTCGACAGTGTCTCTGACCTGCTTTTGCTCAGGATTTTCCCCTTTGTGTGTGAGCACCTTTGAATGGAGATGACTTTTGGGCCCACTGAACGTACCTATGGAACAATGGTTTATAGAAACATCCCGGGCTTTATGCTGAGTCTGGGGAGTTGGTGAGAGAAAAATCAACAGTCCTCTCTCCTCACTTTTTGGCCTTTTTATAAAGATGCGTTTCACAAAGATGATTACCTTCCTAGGTACAGACAGAGCTCTGTCAGTAAGGTGGGATCTTCCACCGGTTGTGGGGAAATAGGATGCGACTGCTGGGAATTAAACACAAAAGCAGAGCTCTGAATACAGTCAGGCCTTTGCCAGCAGGGGAATGATCTTGTTGAAAGTTTTTATTTCAACAGGTTGACAGATCAAGAGAAGACAAAAGAGTTGTTCTTTTTTTTTTCTAAGCACTTATGGCTGTTTTCCTCTTTTTCTTCCATGATTCCCCTTCTCGGCCCCTACCACTGGCTCAAATAATTAACCAGGAAATCAGCAAGTCATGACATGGGAAATGACGTATTGTAGTCAGAGTTTCTGTAAAAACCACAGATTAGAGGTTGAGGTTAAGGGTGCAGTGTCAGCAAACTTTTGGGAAAACTTAAAAACCTTGATGACTGATTTTGGTGGGTTTTTCAGGATCGTTTGTAAGGACAAAGGCCAGTAGCATTTTATTTTGAGGAAAACAGGGATTAAGCTTATAATTTTGCTTAAAGAGGGCTGGCCCATCACTTGTCAGGCCCCAGTGCTCACCTGTGTGTTCCTGAGTCTTTCCCTGACTGCTGGGAAGGAGCCCCTTTTCCTGCCTGGGGATTCTCAAAGTCTGCACTTTTGTGTTCAAATATGACCCTCCTGGCTTGAAATGGAAACAAAACGGTTTTAAAATTCAACATTTCAGCCTTTTTCAAAGCCAATAATAAAGTTTTTTTTGTCATTTTGGGGTGTGGATTTGTTTTTTTTTTGTTTGTTTGTTTGTTTTTTTTTTTTTTGTGTTTTGTTTTTGTTTTGTTTTTGTTTTTGTTTTTGTTTGTTTGTTTTTTGTTTTTTTTTTGGTTGGTTTGTTTGTTTTTTCAATTTGTCTTTCCCCTCATCAAAACCAAACAATAAAACCACACTGTAATGGTAACTAAGGAGAACTTTTTCTTCCTTCTCCAAGGCTTTTGCTTGGTTTGAGTGCCTAGGGAATTGCTTTCTCCTGCGTGTCCCCCCAGTAACTTTAGCAGTAAGTGTTATGGATATGCAATCTCTATGCAGAGATCTTTGCCTGGAGATCTTTTTTTGAAAGACCACACAGCAGAGCTTGAAAACCTCTTAATTGCTTCCTGCCCACTGGCTGGTATAGTAAAGTCAAAAAAAAATCTTACCAATCCTCATTACAATTAAAAAAAATAATAATCTTTTATAGGTTACTTTTACCTTCAGCTGCTGTTCTGCCACTTCACAGCAGTAAAGGAAATGTTGGATTGTTGTGAGAGTGAAGTGAAACAAGAAATCTCCTTCCCCAATAATTGTTAAACTAGTGTCTGGAATTAATGAGTGTCTCTATTCGTCTAGATTGTGTTATCAAAAAGTGGAAGAAAAAAAACTGAATTCACATTGTTCAGCAGTCCTATAGAGGGTTATTGTGGTATTATCGCAGACTAGTGGAATAGTTCTGGTTTTACTGTTTCCACCTTTTTCCTACTGGCTTTACTTGAACATTTTAGAAGGCTGACAGCAGCAGAGTAGGACTGCTAGGTCAGGGCTCAGTTGTGCTGTTCATATTCCAGGTCGTATTTGAGAGCTTTAACCTTAACTGAGTTTTGGGTCCAAAATCTAGTCTGAACCTGTTATATATATAAATTCCTTACTGTAGCTCTAGTTTAAATAGTTTTATTTATCATTTCCAGAAAGCAGATACTTATGAGGTGCAGTAGACGAACAGTCAATGGTATCTTTATAAAATGATATCCAATTGTTTTTCAGAGATAGGCAATGTAGCTTTAGTTTGTGTTCTGCTCACATCAAAGTGAGAAGAAATTTTGCCATTGATTTAAATTAGTAAAGTCGGGTCAGATAAAGTAATTTTGTTGTAAGACCTGTACAGAGCACAGCATTAATTCTCCCATGTGGAATATGGTAAGTTGCAGATATGAAAATGTTAAGCAGAAAACATACCAATGTGACTAAAATACTGACATTAAAGTCCTTGTCAAATTATTCAAATTGGGCCGAAGCCTAGTGTTTTCTTTTTACTTAATATGCAAGGTTTTTCCACAAGATTTTTTTTTTAAGTATCTGATTTCTAAATCTTTTTGCTGCATTCCCAGCCTACCGCCTGTTCAGATTTATGAAAGACTTCCATGCAGAGCTACTGTGTCTGTCTGGATACTGAGCTGAGGATATGGGTGCTAGAATACACGTCATGGTGGCACTGCTGTGATATCTGGAGCAGTGCTCGTCCTCTCTTTCCAGGAAGATCTCATTCACTAGTACTGGTACACAAATCACCATGCTTACAGCTCCATGTTCTCTGTAGATCTCACGTCAACTCTTATGCTTTGGATTATGTTTAATACTAAGCATAAATACTCAACATTTATTACCGTGCAGTGCACTTCCAACAGCACTAATCTGGGAAATCCAGAAGAAGAAAGTGCTTCCAGAGACGGTATTAATGACTGTGACATTTATTCTTCCTCAGACCTCTGATGGGATTTGACAAACTGTTCTTGCTTTATTGGTGACTCAGTACTGTGCTGTTTGTGAGGCTCCCCGTAGCAGTTGGTATACCAACTGGCTAGGCACGTGCCTGAAGCAGTAGAGCAGACACGGAGCACACAAGCTCCAGGTCACTTGGGGGCAGGTTTCTAAAAGTTTCCATTGATTGAAATGGGAGTCAGGCACCTAAGGACATAGAAGAGAACAAAAAAAAATCTAGTCCTTGCTTCTCGGTGTACCAACCACATACAGCAAACACTTATTTTCCCTGGATCCTGAAAGCACAAGACAAGCTCTGTGGATAAAGTAATGCTAGGGATGTGTTTGGAACAAAAATCATTTAAAGCTGGCATTTGAGCCACTGCTGGCAACGGCCATCTAATTGAAGGGACCTCATTTGTTACACAAGCCACACAGGAGCTCGTTGCAACAGACTGTGAACTAATTACTAACCTCGTTTAAAAATTAAGGGAATAATTAGGGCTTTGTTTTATTTTGGATGCCTCTACCTTTGTGTACCCAGTTTGAGAGGGACTGCCATGAGAAGGGCAGAAGATTGAGAGGGGAGCAGAGACTTGGGCAGAGTAACTTGTCCATTTAGTGTGAAAGGATCTTGCCAAAACCTTAGATAATAGGAGCAGGAACCCACAAAGCTTGGTTTGATTTTATTTATTTATTTATTTATGGGACTCCTAAATCTACTAGGTCTTCAACAGGCTGGCTGGTGATGCCTGCATGGCTTTCCTCTTGGAATTAAGAGCAAAGGAAGCAGAGGTAGGTAAACCATGTCAGTTGTTTGTGTTTAGTTTTTATGTCTCTTGCCCTGGAACTGAAATTCCACCTCAGGGAAGAGAAGAGTCAGGGCCTGAAACTACAGAGTCTGTGCATTCAAACCAAACCTGAAACAAGAACAAGGGTTCGGCTCCCTCTCTCCCATGACAGGTTGCTTGATGCAAAGATGCCTTGAGGAACACAGCAAGCACCCCTGCTACTGCATGTGGGTAGGAGAGTCTCGTGTTTAAACACTCCAGGGACTTGTTTTGCTGAGAGGAAGATCTGTACATTGTATGTGGATGAGAACTTGTAGCTTTTCTCCAGGTTTCCTATTTTTTTAATTTAATTTTATTTTTTTTTTTCTGGATAGATGACATGCTAAGGCCCAGCTGGGCAAGCTAGTTGTTTTTCTGGGAGGGAGGGAGGGAAGAAGCCAAAAAAACCCTCTGAGGTACTGGTTTTCCCCAGGACAGAGGGTAATGCTGCTGCATAGTGGCTTTTTCTTTCAGACTTTCTTCAGCCCCCTCAGAGCTGGGACCAGCCCAGCTCAAGCAACACAGTGTTGTGCTTGCTACAGCTCGGTGCTGGAACACAGCCGACACTTTCTGGTGTTTTCCCCCTGGAAGGTGGAGGTTGGTATTACAACTGGGACAGGCCAATTAAAAAGGGAAGCCTCTTTCAAATTTATTTATTTAATTATTTTATTTTCAGTGTTGCTTTTGTACTGAGGAACTAAATTACTTCCCCAGTTAAATAAATTAATAAAATGTCCCTTTGAAGTATTTTCAATGGATACTGGAGTGCTACATCCAGCTCTGCGGTCCCCAGCACAAGAAGGACATGGACCTGTTAGAGCTAGTCCAGAGAAGGGTCATAAGGATGATCAGAGGGCTGGAGGACCTCTCCTGTGAAGAGACCTCTCCTACAGGCTGAGGGAGTTGGGGTTGTTCAGCCTGGAGAAGAGAAGGCTCTGTGGAGACCTTACAGCGGCCTGACAGTGCCTAAAGGGGGCCTACAGGAAAGCTGGGGAGGGACTCTGTGTCAGGGAGTGCAGTGACAGGACAAGGTTATAGTAATGGTTTTAAACTAAAATATGGAAGATTTAGATGAGGAAGAAATCCTTCACTCAGAGGGTGGTGAGGCACTGGCAGCCCAGAGAAGCTGTGGATGCCCCATCCCTGGAGGTGCTCAAGGCCAGGCTGGATGGGGCCTTGGGCAACCTGGTCTGGTGGGAGGTGTCCCTGCCCATGGCAGGGGGTTGGAATGAGATGATCTAAGGTCCCTTCCAACCCAAACCATTCAGTGATTCAGTGATTCTACGACACTGTAGTGACTGAATTATACAGCCACATCCTTTGGTATGTCGGTAGGTATCTTCTCAGCTCCTTAGCAAGCTTCTTCAAGAACAGATCTCTGGCACGTTGCTTTGTGTCACGGCATAGGCACTCTTGTTCTTAATCTGTAATTACATAACCAACACCTAGCAAAGACCACTTATTTCTGGTGATTACACAGTAATTACAGTCAATTGATTCCAAATTGGTAATTGTTAATAGTTCCTTGCAACACTCACAAAATAATAACAATATTCTGTCATTTAGTGGTGATTAGAATGAACGCTTAGGGTCAGTTAGCGCTGCTGCTCACTTGCTTTTTGGCTCACTAAATGAAGTGATTATGACTATATTTAGTGTCCTCTGGCTTTTTGGATTCATTGTGCTGGAATTTGATTTCATTTTCCTTAAAATAATTACTGGGAATTACATTGTGTTTGGTGGTGTTAATCAGAATTTATGCTGATGTAAATGAGATGAGTTTCAAGCTCAAAGGTTTCCAATTACAGGGGAAAAGGATGTAGAAGTATTTGGGGCTTTATTACTTACTACATGGTTTGTTGTCAGCCTGCCCTTGTGGGCTGACAGTGACAGATTGCACTGTCAGACAGAAGCTCAAGACCAAGCGAGTCAAAGAGCCAGGGCTTGCAGTGCCGGATTGCTCAAGCGCAAGGCTTCGTGGTAGTGGAGAGGTCACTGCTTGCTCTTTCCATACATATTCCTATCAGGCACGAGGCGCCAGGAGACGCTAACTGAAATGCAAGCCACATGAAACACGTGCAGTTTCCTCCACTGTAAATTTGTCTTGTTTGGCATATGATGGAACATTCTGAGGACACTTTTTTTTTGTTTGCTTTACAACTGGTGAGAGCTTTGGCAGGAGGTATGTTCTCCTTGTGAGTACTTCTGAGCAAAGATACGGCAGAATGTCAGCATCCCAACAGGATCCAGTTTGAATACAACAGAAAAGCACTGTCTAGAAGGGTTTGGGGGGAGAAGAAGAGACCAAATGCAGTTAAATTATAATAACATGCTGATTAAAATTCTCCTGGCTTCTGAAATGGGTATATAATGTTGTCCTAACTGAAGAAGTGTGTACATTAGCTTCTTAAGACAGCTGAGTGAAAATGGCTCTTCATATCTCTGACTACCCTTGCAGACATGCATACCTATGAGAGCCAATTAATCTTCTATTACCTTCCCATTTAAAAATGAAAATCAACAACACAACAACAACCACCTGCTTTATCAGTCCAGAGGTTCATTGTTCTCTTTTTTTACTCTGGTATAAATCCATACAGTAGAAATAAATGTGACTGTCAACATAAAAAATGAGAAATCTAACTCTCTGCAGAAGGATTAAGCTATGAGACAAAAAAAGGCATTAGTACCTCTCACAATGCAATAGACCTGTGTTTCTGACATACATCCTTTTATATTTGTTTTATTGGTAAGAATTATTTTTGGTTAAAAATAAGGCATTCTGTTTCTTGCAGTAAAGAGAGTGGAAAAAAAATGTTTCACAATGCTACAGCACTTTCTGATTTAGAGCCCATAATACTGTGAGACATCTGGATACTTTTTTTTTTCTCTGAATAGGTTGACCCTTCTGCAGTTCTCTTGAGTGAAATCCTGGCTTCATTAAAATCAAAAGCAAAATTCTTATTGACTTCTGTGGGCCAGGATTTTGTCTTGGCATGTTTTCCATAAGACCCTTTCCTCTTTCAGACCATGACTCTGTGGAGCACTTAAACATATGGTTACCTCTCAGAATGTCTATTTGTTAGTGGAAAAATGCTCTTTAAAATATGTTCATCATCAAGATAGGTAATGCTAGCACCACTCAGAGACATCAGCTGAGAGAAAATACTTTTTGAAAGAAACATTCCGGTTTTATTCATTTTATCTTGTGAACATTTAGCCTGCTTGCAAGAATCCAATGGGTGCACTTTTCCTTTAGATTTGCCTAGTAACTTTTCATCCCTGGCTTCCATAGAAGCAGGAGTGCTTTGATGAATATTGCTGTGGAGATAATTAATTCCAGCATTTCTTCAATTCTGTCTTAAAAGCGGAAGAAGGAAGGGCAAGTAAGAAATCAGAAAGTGGAGTCATCAGATTAAAAGCACATGCCTCATAAAAAGGTTGTGCTGTTGCCATTGTTCTTCCAAGGAAGAATTTAATTATTTACCTGTTCACTACTTGCTTTTTTTATGCTGTTCAGATTAGCAATATAAAAAAAGTGAAAATGATCCGTTTGCTTATACCTTAAACATTCTGCCAAACAAGGAACCTTTAGGTCAAAGGGTATTGTTGTGCTGAAGAAAGGGAATTGTGGATTACTGAGGGCACCTCATTAGTGCCGGTGGCTGCTTCTCTTAATGAGTGGCAACATGTGGATGTCACAAGCCAAGAGCAAATGAGTGCATACTGCACCTCAGGTGAATCCTCCTAAACACTACCTTCCCTGCTTGCAGCTTTTTACCTCTGGTGAGAGCCTGGTGACCGGCGATTTCTGGAACTTCATCGCTGGCCACCTGTGGTCCCTTCATTCCTCTGCACTCCCTGCAAAGGAGACCTCAGCAGAATTCAAGGTGGTGTGGAAATGAGGGGAGTCACAGGCCTTGCGAGAGAGGAGCTCTCTAAGTGGTTGGAAAAGCTGGGTAGTGTGGATAAGAAACTGCCAGTACCTGGCTCAGTAACACAGGTAGGGCTGTCCCTGAGGAGCTGCTGGAGAAAGATGCATGGTACCATCAGAGGGCTACCTCTCGTCACTAAGATTTTAATTAAAAAAACATGTATATACGAGTATAGTTGAAAAAATAAGCATCATTTCCATTGTGCTTCTCTCAGAAGAAACCTGAGTGTTTTCTAAATCAACAAAATCCGCAGCTCCATCTCGGAAGCAACACAGCTTTGCCTATCGCTTCTGTGCGTACAGGCCTTTGCACCGAGAAGGCTGTGGCAGAAGGAGCGGCTGCTGTAAAATTTGCATTCATCTCGTTAGTTTGTTTATAGAATGCCCTAAAGAGAGACTTTTTGTGTGAGTCGGTGTGAGCAGATGGAAATAAGAGACCTAGTAATAAAATGTGTGCTTAAAAAAGACATAAAACTTTACATGAAGGCAGAGCAAATTGAACATGGCTCCCACTGACTTTTAAGACAGGAACAGTTGTACCAGTGTGAGCAAGGGAAGAATTTGGCCTGCTACTTGGGTTTTATGTACCAAGACTGGGAGCACAGCGTGTCAATAATTAGGGCTTCGAGGTACTGGATATACTGCATATCTCCTTAGAGCTATGAAGAGCATACATGTTGCAACCAAAAGTGAAAACAATGCAGACAGTGAGAAAATCTGTGAAATCTTGTTCTTTTTTTTTTTTTTTTTTTTTTTTTTTAAATTCCCTGTAACAGCATGCCATTTAAGTTCTAAGAAGACACTCCCCTGGTATTTCCATTTACTGAACCCAGTATCCCAGGAGGGGGTGAAAGGGAGGAGAATGGGTGTTCACTTTTCCTGTCTGCAGTGAAGCATTTTCTCATACCTATGACTAAGGAGGGAATTTTGCAACCGAGAATGTTTTTCCTTTCTGTCTGCTGTGCTTCTTAGCACAGCAATAGCAGAAAACAGTACTCAGTTTTGGTCACTTGACTGGAAAGGGGCAAGAA